AAAAAAACCTTGCTTCATATAGTCATATTAAGTTGTTAATTAATTGAATTGTTTATGTTATCTGATTCAAGGTTTGAGAAGCCCAGCCCTCCAATATCTCAGTTCCAAGAGGCGAGCTTTGGGCATGGGCGGCTGAGGGTGGTTAACGAGACGCATGCCCATTGGTCATGGCACCGCAACGATGACCCTGACTCGACCATCCGCGACGAGGTTTGGTTGGAAAGCCTTGCTGCATCTCGTGCCTGTGGGGTTTCACTACAAGCTCATGCACCGTCTACCTCGGATGAGCTTTAAGCTAATCGCTGCCGAATATATAGATGCTTTGATCAGTGTTCAKTCGCCCAATATTTCATTGTTGATACTTCTTAGGGGATATTCCTGTAATTCCAGGCCTCAGACCTCATCAGTTATATATTAATCACATACCCATTGACTATATGCAATTGAGTATCAATACAGACATACATTTTAAACAATTATTTTTAACCATCTTTAAGCAACGGGTTGCTCAATAAATCTTTGTGAGGAAGACGTTTTTCTTTGTTCTCTAAATTCTTCTTATTTTAATTTCCCAATTCAAATTTTGATACCATTAAGGGTGATATGAATTGATCTATTTGGTTTCAATGTTGTTTTTTTAAGAAAGAAAAATTTTATGCTACAAAAGGCTTTTGACCAATCAAACCCCCTGTGAATTTTGACAAATATCAGATGATTGGTTATCACTTTAGTTAGTTACAAATTTTTCTAGTATATATGGAGTTCACATCTGTGTGCCCCACACCACATTCCCACCTTGTATTGGGAACATCTCCTGATAACAGTATGGGAGACATCATCAGGAGATGTTCCCAATGCAAGGTGGGGATGTGGTGTGGGGCATTATAGGGTGCCCCCCTTGTAGGGCACAGATGTCAATTCGTATATATAATAATCGAACATTTTTAATAATTGTCATAGGTTCAAGTTTCATACAAGTAATAATTTTCAATTTCTTTTTGTTAATTAAAAAATGCAATATCAAAATCAAGGCTCAAAAAATGGTGAGATGGGATTTATATAGCAGACCCCGTATAGTTGGAACAAGGCTCAGCAAATTATATTTATATTACTCGTTTATTGGTGCAAGATTTTCGGGTATCATATTAGAATATATATATATATATATATGTAGTATTTTTTATCAGTTTTTGTTTATATCATTGAATATCTGATTGCAATCGAATTTGATTAAAATCTGATATAAATCCATGGATAATATCAGAAGACCCTCAACGAATCAAATTATGTTCTACTTTTATCAGATTAATTCGGTCCTCCTGTTATATGCGCAGAGAGCTATTACAATCCAACTTCTCTTCTCCTGCTGCAAGCTGATTCAGCCGTGAGACTTGTCAACCAGACCTTGTCACTTTGGGAATCAGCTTCCTTTAGGGCAAAGCCCATTCAAGCAGCTTTTACTGTCTTATATTGAGAATATTTCTGTACTTATATGCTTTATTTTATAAGAAGATATTCCTAATGCAAGGTATCAAAAGACTATAAGAATGGTGTGGGCATAGGTTTGCCCTCATGGAAGCCAATCTCATCACTTCGAACTGCTTCATCATCGTCATTCCTATGCCAACTCTACAATGCATGAGTAGAGTTTACCACCTGTACCCAAATTCATAGAGAATAGAAAAAAGAATCTCACATTTTTATTGTTGCCCTCCTCGAGAATCTATATATATCTATATATAATAAAATTGGATGGTTCATGTGAACATGTCTCTCATTTGAGAGAAACTATTTATTTATTTTCTCAATTTTTTGTATTTTTTCTTATTTTCTTTTGTTTTAAAAATATAAAACAGTAATCATTGCTTATAAAGACATTTAAGAGAGAGAGAGAGATAGGCCTTTGGGTTTTCCAAGACCTCTTATTTTAGTGCATGCTATTATTACATTTAAGAGAGAGAGAGAGAGTAATAATAATATAAATCAAATAATATAAATAGGTTGAGGTTAAACATTCAAAAATTATTAATTTAAAAATCCACTAAACTTTTACTAAAAATAAATATTAATAAAACTTAGTAAATATTAAAAATGTGTTTCAATTCCACTTAAAAATCAAACTTAATAAATACTAATAAAAATAAGAGATTTAAATATAAAAATATTAATTGATAGTTTTAATAATATTATTAGATAACTTATGAGTTGAGACCTTTATTGTGCATAATGAACTCATTACAAATGATAAAAATTAATGAAAATTTAAAATGCAGAACCTAATTTATTAACAATATTTTATTGCAAAAATTACTCATATGCAAAAATTATTGAATAATAGTGAAAAAACACCAACAATTTATTAAAAATCTAGAAAATTCTGAAACACCTAAACATAATTAAAATACTAAAAATAATTAAAAAATATTAAAAATTAACAACATTTTATATTAATAAGGGTATTTAATGAAAACAATTAAAAAGTACAATTAATAGTATTTTATTATTAAAAATACCAAAAATTATTAAAAAATACCCAAGCCAAAAATTATTGAAAATTAGTTGTATTTTTTATTAACTGTGGTATTTATTTAGCTATTTAAAGCTCAAAGCCCGATCTATACACAAAATGTCTTATTTTCAATATACTTTTATAAACTAATATTATATTAATTTAGTAATAATTTAATAAATTAATTTATATTTCCTAATCTTAAATTGATATTTATTAATAATTTAAGAAGTATATATATATATATATATATATATATATATATATATATTATAACATAAGTACTTTTTTTTTATATATGTAATAGTATTGGGCCGAGCTTATTTGAGAAAGCTCGAGCTCGAGTCCATGGGCCTGAAATTTTGTTAAAGCCTGAAAAATAACATGTTAGATCGGGCTAGGCTGTCGGGCTACCCGGTCTATGAATATGCCTAATTGTATATATAAACAATTGTATACATAAAAAATCATATGAAATAAAAATTTAAACATCTTTTTCATTTTTTTTTTAAATTGACCTCTCATAGCTTGGCTTGGCCCGTAGACCAGCCCAACCCATGAAACGACACGGGCCCGTGCGGGCTTGGGYTGTGGGCCATGCCGAACCAACCCCCCAAATTATCCCAGGGCAGGGAGGCATGGCCTAACGCCTGGTGGACCAGCACGGCATGACCCACACTTTGCGTAGGCTGCATGCAGGTCATGTCGTGTCAGCCTAGCACGACCCGATTTACACCTCTACTTGAACCCGCCCAATATTGAGGACGAGACGAGGAAATTCGAGGATTTCCCATCCTTAATGAGGAGTGGGATACCTTGCCCCTGAACTCACCCGACATTGAAGAGTAATTGCCTTACCCAGAATCCACCTAACACCCGTAAGGCCTGAAAGGAAATTCACATCTATGCCCTACATCACATTCCAACCATGTATTGAAAACAACTCTCAATAACAAATACGGAATATGTTCACAATACACACTGAGATGTGATGTGTATGTAGAACTCAGATGTGAACTCCAACGAAAGCTGCAATTTGGAAGGCTAAGTTGGGCTTAGGGCGAACCTTGAAGACCTAGGGTTTAGGGTTGGGCTAAATGCATAACATACATTAAAAAATATTTGTATTATACATACAAATACGAAATTAAGTTGGGCTTGGTATGGTTGGCCAATGCCTCAATCCTAACCCAACCCAAATTATTGAGTTCATACTTTTCAGCCGTAACCTTAACTCGAATTCAACCCAATCTAATCCAAATCGAATTGGGTCCAGGCTAACTCGGTCCAAGTTGCAGTTCTAGTGAGCCTGGGCCAGGCTGCACGTGAAATACACTTGGGCTCGCTTAGGCCGTCGACTGATGGTTAGGCCGGTTCGTCCTACAGTCCTACTGCAAGTTGGGTATGTCCGTATGTGCTCTCAGACTCAGCATTCCCATCTAAACCCTAGGCCTCAAACGATAAGAAAAACCATTCGATAGCCAACTCCTTTCTTCTCGCGTTCGACGTCTAGAATCAAAGGTTCGTCTTCCCCCAGACTGTAAATTCGCTTTTCTATTTTCTTGAATATCTCTTTTGAATCGATGGAGAAATGTTTTGAAATTCCAGTTGATTCTTTCGAGCTAAAACAAATCCTCGTTGTTCGATGTTTTTTCTTTGCCTTTTCAGTTAGTCGAAAGCCTCAATTCATTGCTGCTGATCTGGTTGGATCCAGTAAACGATAAAGAGCTGGGCCTCGCTTCTTTCCTTTGATTTGTTAGTATATAAAGTGATTCTATTAATTTCTATTTTCTTCTTTTCCCTTTTTCTTTTTAGTATTTGCTGTAGTGATTTTGTTGCTGTATTGAAGAAGCTGTGAATTTCCGGGCCCTGATTCTTTTGGAAACATTCCACAAAAATCTATCTTGTACCTGTTTATCTCACTTTTTGGATTTTAAATGTTTGGTAACCCATGGTTTTTATTTACTGGATGGAATTTCTGCCTATGTTTTTGGGTTGGCAAACGTTTTGTCTACTGTTAAATATTTGCGCTTTGAATTGTTGAGTTATTTACGCTTTGTACCGTGATGTTATTCATTTAATTGGTTGTTGTGAAATTTGAATATAATTCTTTAGTTCTTCCCGCTTTTGTGCATGTTGGATATGGAATCTACACTTAAAAAAATGGTCAATCATAAACGTAGTGCAAGCTTAGGTAATGCTATAGTATATTGGCCAGTCTGGATTGCAATAAGATTTAGGTCCACAAATCTCTTTGATGGAAACTCATATTGAGCTAAGTAATTCACCATCAATTCCAACCATGCTCCATCTCCTCATGGTATTATGAAGATTAACTCAACACAAAGGGTTTCTCTCCAATTAATTGTTTGGTCTAGTTGGGCGACCTGAGTATGGTTTGAGCATATATTTTAAATGCCATCATTGAGACAATAACCATTTGCTTTCTCCTATCATAACAAAAGAGTGTTCAAGACTAATGAAAGATGGGAAGTTCTGCAACAAGGGTCACCACATCATGGTGGCAATGAGATGGTCTGTGGTAGCTATTTCCAGGAATCTCATTTATAGGGGATTTGGACCAGCCAAAAATGGGGGCCTGGTGACTGCTGGCCACCTTCCTATGTATTCTCTTTTTTTATTTTTTTAATAAAACTTTATTTTGTTATAATAAATAAATAAATAAATAGGGACCAATTGATTATATACACCACAAACAACATGACAGAATAATCTTAGCGCACTTACATTATATGCTTGCCTGCTTGGTCATCCTTTTCAAAAGAAGTCAGGAAGGCAATCACCCTGCCTGCCCCACCCCCAATTCTACCAGAAAATGGAAGACATCGTAGTATTTTTTTACTTCCAAGATCCATGATTGAAACACTATCTTGTACCTTTATCCTTTTTTTTTTTTGATAAGTAATAAGATTTTTGTTAGAGAATGGAGCAAAAATGTTACAAGTGATCAGGGAGAGGCACGAGCTGCAACCTCTCCTAACAGACAAAAAAGAAACAAATTACAATTGTGCCCAATACAATTGTTTCCTATTTGCTCCTTGCTTGGCTAAGCTATCAGCCGTAGCATTAGCTGATCTCCCCACCCATTGTATCCTTACACTCATATTCCTTGTCAGCCACTTGATTTTTTTTTTTTTCAGTTATTTTTTGTAGCACCAGACCACATTCTCTGGGTTCTGCAGCCACCCCACCACCACCTTGGAGTCACCCTCTATTAGTAGCTGTTGCACTCCTAGCTGTATTGCTAACTGTACCCCTTTGAGGGTAGTTAGTAATTCTGCCCTAGAGGAGTCCCCCACACCTAGAGGACTGGAGTACAAGAGAGCCACATTACCACTTTCATTCTTTATAACCCCTCCCATCCCAGAGAGACCTGGGTTACCTTGACTACTGCAGTACTGCCATCAAAATTTAATTTCATAAATCCTTTAGGAGGGGGTGCTGAACTCATATACACCTTATTCTTCTATGAGGAGCTACTTGCCACTTCTGCCCAATGCCTCCAAAGATCATTAAAAGAGAATTGGTGAAATAATTCCAAGGATTTCAGCCACAAGATAGCCTTATGTAAGATGCACTCCTTAATTCTTGTATGTTTCTTTCTTTCTCCTGAAAAATTTTGGCATTCCTTTCTTCCCACACTGTCCAAAGCAAAGCTTCTCTTGCACACCTCCACATTAACCTTCCTCTTCGATGGCGCCAAGGAAAGGTAGACAGATCAAAAAGCAAACTTACATATGCTAGCCTATTCCACCTGAAACCAAAGACCAAGGAGAGGCAATCCCATAAATCTGCATTAACCTTACAGGAAATTAGTAAATGGTAATAGTCCTCACCATGAGACCTACAAAGAGTACACCAGTTAGATGAAAGACAAGATAAGGTCTTCTCTTTTGTAGATTATCTAGGGTGTTTAGCTTCCCATAGAATACTTCCCAATAGAAAGCCAAGACCTTAGGGGGAATAGGCCTGCACTAAACCTCCTTATAAGGGAATACTTATTGGACTTCAGAGCAGCAAATGGCCTTGAAGAAGGAAGCACAAGAGAACTGGCCCAAGAGCCCAAATTCTTTTGTCTGGTTTAGAGGGGCACAAACAAATTTTTTCAAGAAGGCTCAAAAGGCCAGTTAGACTCTCAATCTCTTCATCCCTTGGACCTCTACAAAACCCAAAGTTCCAAACTAGTGCCAAAGGAGATGATTCCAAGGAGGAAAAGAATTTTGACACAGGCTCTTTTTTATATTGAGGTAAATTGAATAATGATTGGAAGAGGTCTTGGATTTCTACTGGGAAGTGTTCTATGGGAAGGTAAACACCCTAGATAATCTACAAACCTCTCTAACCCATGTATCTTCCCAAAAAAAAAATTGAATTACCAGAGCACACATCATACCTGATCAAATTGTGAAGTTGGGGGAGAATACTGTGAATTGCCTTCCAAGATGTTGCCAAAGTTGTCTACTGAGATACCCCAACATCCCACCCGTTCTCTGAATGACCATGGATACCTCCTACTCCTCATGCCATAATCTCTCTCTCTCTCTCTCTCTAAAGTCCACCTTCACAACCACTTCCCCAAAATTGCCATCTTCTTTTTCTTAATATTCCCTGTTCCCAAACCTCCCTCCTCTTTACTTTTGCACACCACCTCCCACTTTAATAGATGATCCTTTCTTCCTTCCCCTGGTTCCCAAATGAAATTCCTCATTAACTTCTCTAGTTTATTAGCTTCCCTAGTTGGAATCCTAAAGACAGACAAAAAATAGGTTGGAAGGTTAGCAAGGGTGGCTCTAATCAATGTGATTCTACCTCCCAAAGAAATATAATTCTTCTTCCATGAGGCCAATCTTGTTTCAAACTTTTCTACAATCGGGCACCAAAAGCTACTCTCCCTAGGGTTTTCCCCTAAAGGGAGTCCCAATTAGGTCAAAGGCCAATTAGAGATAGAGCATTCTAAACAACTGACAATAGCTTCAATCTCTCTATTTTCCAGGTTCACCCCTGCTACAATACTCTTTTTCAAGGTTGACTCTTAAATTGGAGGCCCTTTCAATTATTTTCACCAACAGCTTCAGATTCCTCACCTCCTTAATATCTCCCCCTTCACAAAAAAAATAGAAGTATCATATGCAAATTGAAGATGAGTAGCTGACTTTCCATCCTTGCCTATTTTCCACCCATTTATGATCTCTCTATCGGCCTTTGAGATCATTTGACTGAGGACATCTGCTAATAAGGTAAAAAGGAAAGGTGATAGAGGATCCCCTTGCCTTACACCTCTACAAGCTGGAAAGAAATCCTTTACCACCCCATTAACCAATGTAGAAAAGTGACTTGAACTGACACAACCATGAATCCACTTACACCACCTTTCTTTGAAGTCACATTTTGCTCAAAACTTGTGACAGGAATTGCCAATCAACCAAATCATAGCTTTTTCCAAATCTAGCTTACAAATGAAACCTTTCTTCTTATATCTTCTCATGTTCTCTAGGCACTCATTAGCTGCCAGAACTGATATGTGATTTGTCTCCCTTTCACTAAGGCCCCCTTAGGATTTGCTGATTAAGGAAGGGAAACTTCTCTGATCCTCAAAGGCAATACTTTAGCTAGAATCTCGTAGATACTAGTCACCAAACTGATTGGTCTATAGTCCTTAGGGAGAACTTCTTTATACTTGTCCCTTGTCTTTGAATGAATAGGCAAAACCGCAAAAACTTAGTATCTTCTTTTGTTCCTTATTTTTGGCATTTATTGACAATATTTTTCACCTTGAAATCGATTTTATTTATTTTTTTGATAATATCAACATTTCATCAATTAAAAAATAAGCTACCCCAGATGAAGTAGCAAGTCAGTAAGTACAGAGCCAGGAAAAGGCACAAAATTTCTTTTTATTGGTTGTAAACAAAGATGCTTCTATAATTTAAAGAAAACTTAACCTTTTAAGTTACTCTAATCATGCTAATTGCAAATGGAATTTATATAGGATGATATGATGCCACAGAGAAAAGTTACAAAATGATTTTTTATAGCATTTGCTTATAATTAATTATATATAATAACTAATAAAATTTATTTATTTTTGATGAATATAACTAATAAAATTCATTTCTACCATGATTTTTTGTTATTAAAGGACTAGCCATATGAATAAAAGTGAAGTGATTATCTTCTGAGCACTTATTTAATGGAAATAGTATCGTGAATCACACTATGCAACTGAAGCTAGAAAACTGCCCTTAAATGAAATGATGTGATTTTAGTTGGCAATTTTAAATTTTATGTTGAAAGGGTCATGTTTGGTGTGCTTGAATTCTTGTTTAAAGTAAATTTTTCTTTCTTTCTTTCTTTTTTTTGTTTTTTGTTTTCAGGATTGCAGAGGCCCCCAGCAACTGTCAAAATGTCTCGGAAAGGGTTGATGGAACAAGATTTGAGCAAGCTTGATGTGACTAAGCTACATCCACTCTCTCCTGAAGTAATTTCTCGTCAAGCTACAATAAATATTGGTAATCTCATCCATTGCAAAGCTTCAATTCAACTTTTCATTTCAATATAAGGTTCATGCCTTTTGATTTTATCTTCTTGCAACTTTATGGGTATATGTGAAGATGATTTCTTGAGCAAGATCCCTCATTCTAGGATTGGAATTGATGCATCTGCTTTAAATGTATTTTCTCAGGCACCATTGGCCATGTGGCCCATGGAAAGTCAACAGTTGTAAAAGCAATATCTGGTGTCCAGGTGAGTCTTTTGTTTATTTATTTCCTTCTTTTTGTATGCTTTTGTACTTATGTGTTTTGTTTTTTTAATACTGAATGATTGCCTTATTAAGTGGGGAAGATAAGGTATGGAAATGTATAATGAAATCGTCTGCATAGTCTCATCAAGAGACCAAATGCAAATTGAAGTGCATAAGGGTTCTATATTTTTTTATGGGCAATGATTCATTACCAAAAAATAAATGTGGAAGAAATGCTTATGCTGAGATGGATGAGTGGGAAAGACTCTTTGAGGCTGCAACTCGCGCCTCTGTGGTTGTAGTGTCCATCTTGTACCTTTCTTTTTCTTCTCTTTAATTTCAATAAAATCCTTATCAAAAAAGAAAAGAAAAGATGGATGAGTGGGAAAAAGTAGAAAGGATTGGGTTAGAAATGAAGCTGTTCAAAGGAACCTGGGAGTAACTCCAATAGGTGATAAAATGATAGAAAGTAGACTAAGATGGCTTGGTCACATGCATAGAAGACCATTGAGACATTGAAAGCATCCTAAGAAGAAATCTTTTGCAAGTTGAAGGGGCTTGAAGGGTTAGGGGTAAGACTAAAAAGGCCATTGGTAGTAGTAGTAAGAAGTGATTTAAGCGCTCACATGTTAACAATGATATTACATTAAACAAAACAAGAATGACGAAACAGGAATTCATGTAGCACACCCCATGTAGTTAGAACAAGGCTTGGATGATGGTGATGGACAATGATTCATTAAATACTAAAGACGCTCCTATCCATTTTAGACTTTTTTATGTAGTCTTAAATTTTGGTTAGAAACTATGTCCTATACTTAATCTTAGAAAAGAATGGTTTATGGAAAGTGAAGGATTCTTCTAGAAACATGATTGTCAATGCCTCGCTAGCATCCTTTTGAGGAAAAACCATGGTTTTATTTCTCAAAGCTACTTTTTCTAGTTTTGAGAAGAAAAAAAGGTATTTCTTTTTCTTGAAAAAAGGTTGCCTAATGCCTATATGTGTGGATATATAAACGAAATTATGAGTTAGTTAACAACTTTATCTTTTTTCTCTTCTGAAAACTGCATGAAAAGAAATCAAACTCATCGTTCCGAGGTTCAGAATAAATAGAACAGAGTTTTTGGCTGATTCAAATGGGAGATAAATTTCTCACTTCGAGCTGGTTAATATGGAAAGACCATCTATTGTATTATAAAAGTCTAATATTCACCTATTTAAGCTGGGACGGATCTGTGCAAGAGAAAAACCAGAAATAAATAGTTGGTGAAAGACAATAATACCCCTTTTTACTCGCCACATACCATTTATGCACAAAATAAGTAAATATGGGCACTTGTTTGGTTGGAAAGCTTGTTTCTCAAATTGGTGAATCTGGTAATCTAAGGTTTAACAAATAAAAATCATCAATGCAGGTTATGCCACAATGGCAGTATTTGACAAATCCCAGAGAGGAAAAGAGTACCCCCTTTTACTAGCCACTTAACACTCATGTACCAAGTACCCCTTATACAGTAGATATGGACACTTTTTGGTTTGAATATTTGTCAAATTTGCGAGTCTAGTAATCCAAGGTTTATCAAAGTATCGGGTGTATCACATTTTTTTTGAAGAATCAATAAGAAATTTCATTAAAAGAGAAAAAGGGTTACATCCTAACACCATTGGTTGTCTTGATGACACACCAGATACATTCTCAAAACTTCAAATTGAAAAAGATTCTTCTTTACAAGGCTGTAAGGCAAAGGTATTCCAAAAGTTTTCCAGAAAATTGGCTTCCGAGACTTGATCAAAATCTGGGAGTCTGAGGACCCATTCTGATATCAGATTGCTTACTGCAGCTACCATATATTCTATACTTTTTGACCTGTTCTCAAAAACTCTTCTGTTTCTCTCCCTCCAAATAGACCGACATACTGCAAATGGGACACAACAACATGTAATCCTGGCTTTCTTACTGCCTCTGAGCTTTGGCCACAAAGTATCGGGTGTATCACATTTGTATCATGCATCCAGATACACATCAATACCTGATTTACACATGTTTTTTAAATGTTTTAAAACTTTGGGATAATAGATCTCATCCCTCTAATACTTATAAAATAAAACAAGTAAAAAAATAAAAAAAATATGGAGTTATGGTCATATCGATACACACTGATAAGTGATACCCAACTTTGGGTATCAGGCATATCGCTATTTTGATCCTTATCCAATACAATGGAAGATATGAATTGGACAAATTTTTTTTTTGATCAGCATGAATTGGACAATCTGTTTGATAATTGTAGAGCAATAGAGTTAAATGGGTTTTGCTTGCGTTGATAACTTGGATGCTAATGGATTGGATTTCCCTTCTACTTAAATTAATTTTCTCTTTTTGCTAAAAGGATTGAAGGATGAGATATCTTACAGCATGTATCATAAATGTAGGGAACTTTAATCAATTTAATGTGATAATGTTTAGTAGGGAAAATTAGATCTTGTATTCAGTTATAGACACTATAATATATTGTACAATTAAGAAAAAAAGAGGAAATAACAATTTTGCAAAGTTTGGTGAATTGGAGTTTAACTGGTACTGAGATGGTCTTCTACTGAACCTCGTTGATTCTCTAGCAAGGGCAGGGGTAGCAAGAACATACCTGGTTTTTGGGGGCCCCAGGCCTGGGGAAGAAATGTAACAAAGGAAAATGTAAGCATCTAATTATTCAAGATCTGGCCAGCTGTGGGCTGTGTTGTACTTCTCTGGAAACCTATTTTGGATTGAGGTGCTTCATATTTTCAATAAAATTTCAAACATTGCTACCAATCCAAAAAAAAAAAACTTGCTAGTTACCATTTCCCCTTAACCCTTGTCATCCCAAACTCGTCACCAGGTAGACTTCAGAGTTCATATAAGACAAAACATGGTGGTGACTAGCAGACTAGGGTTTTCTATTTTCAGGCAAATGCTTCTCAAGAAATGATATGCCATTGGGGTTTATATGTTAACATGATATTTGCACTTGCTTACAGTATTATGATATTAAGTTTCTGTTTTCTAGGAAAATTACTTTTCTAGTCCTCAGTTTTATTGATGACCTTTTCTTTTGTGTGAAATTGATGACTATTTTTTTGATAGATTTTATTGATGAATATTTTATTAGAAGGGTATTTAAATTTCTTATAATATAACATATGTATGTATTATTTAGAAAGATAACTAGACTTGTGGATAGATAGAGGTATGTCCATATTCAAACTGCATATTAAATGAATCAAACTTCTTTGGTCAAGTATGCATATGGATCATCTGGTCCAATGTAATTGGACCAAACCTTGAACCAGATCCCAACCATTTGCATTGTGCAACTGCATGATGATTTAAGGGAGTGCTGTTTAAGTAATACATCTTCTGTTGCAGTAACTGTATTTATAAAAGAGCATTTATATGGCTTAATTGCTTGTTTGCTACTTTGCTTGGTCATAGAAAGATATAGGAACCTAGAATTCAATCCTGATGACATTACAATCATTTTTCTTTAAAAAGTTATATATGTAAATCTGAATACAAGCTTTTATGGTTTATTTTTCTTGCAGACTGTCCGTTTTAAAAATGAGTTGGAGCGTAACATTACAATCAAGCTTGGATATGCTAATGCTAAGATATATAAGTGCGAAGATGAAAGATGCCCTCGACCTATGTGCTACAAGTATGTTATCCAAGAAAGTTTCTCTGTACTTTGGTACTAGACAGGACCTTTCATGATTTCTATGCAAAATACTTCTGCAGGGCCTATGGAAGTGGAAAAGAAGATAACCCTCTGTGTGATGTACCAGGCTTTGAAAATGCACGGATGAAATTATTGAGACATGTTTCATTTGTAGACTGCCCGGTAAGGATAGTCATTTAGGTGTCTTATATGTGTGGTATTATTTTTTAGGAGAATAATTTTGTGAACTCTGTGTTTGTATATTTAGTTATCTTTTGCGGAAGGGTTCAACCATAATACCAGAAAGATTTCCCTTTGAGGAAATGACTCTTTTTACTTCATTAATGTGGATTTCCTAGCTTTAATTAAGTTGTCTCCTTGATAAACTATAGTATATTGTAAACCTTCTTTTAGTGGGCATGCTGGATTATTTTAGAACAGAATGTGAAACATGAATCATGTAGCCCACCCCACATAGTTGGGATAAGGTATGGGTGATGGTGATGATTATGATTTCATCAAAAAATCTACTGTTGGTAGGTATAGACCCTTTGGGGCCCAAAGCTGTAAGGTTAGGTAATTAGTACAAAGATTTTTCCTTTGATAATATAAAAAAAATCAGAATTTAAATTTTTGAAGGTTGGAAGAACGGAAAGGCTCCCCTCTTTCTGACATTTGCTAGGGAAGGGTAGGTATGTTAGATCTTGTATGGGAGGTTACTGCTCAGGGAATATTGTATTAGTATAGCTTTTTCTGTTTATTGTTCATTAGTTGTTTCTTAACTTTTTGTGTTGTCAGTTGGCTATAATTTTATCACCCTTTTTCTATCATTTAGAGGGATGAGGCTTATATAGTCCTTGATAAAATTCACTGATCTTACATCAGTTACTATTGAGTTTATTAAAGGCATTTTACCGATTTGATGGCATTTTGATGGATTCTGTTATGATTATGTTGATCTTATGTGTTATATTATTTTCTTTAGTTTTGATCTATGTTAAATTTGTGATTCTCCTATAGGGTCATGATATTCTTATGGCTACAATGCTTAATGGAGCAGCAATTATGGATGGGGCATTACTTTTGATAGCTGCCAATGAAAGCTGTCCCCAACCTCAGACTTCTGAGCATTTGGCTGCTGTTGAAATTATGCGCCTCCAACATATAATTATTCTTCAAAATAAAGTTGATCTCATCCAAGAAAATGTAGCCATCAATCAACATGAAGCCATCCAGAAGTTTATTCAGGTCTATTTGCTGGTTACCTGGATCATTTTCTAATGGAAGGATATTTATTGGTTTACCATCATTTTCTGTTTAAACTGAATTGCTTTTTTTTTTTTTTTCAGAAAACAGTTGCTGATGGTGCACCAGTCATTCCAATTTCTGCTCAGTTAAAATACAACATTGACGTTGTTTGTGAGTACATTGTGAAAAAGATTCCCATCCCAGAAAGGAACTTTATTTCGCCACCAAACATGATAGTAATTCGATCATTCGATGTCAATAAGCCTGGATCTGAGGTTGATGAGATTAAGGGTGGAGTTGCTGGTGGAAGCATTCTCCGGGTGCGTTTCTTTCTTTTTTTCCTAGAGTGAAAAAAAGTCGATTTAGACTTTCTGGAAAGCCTACCTGTTGCATTCTTGTATATATTGTGCATATGCAAGCACTTCCATGGTAGTAGCTTTGCCATACCAACAAATTTACCTATTGGTTCAACATTTCAGAAAAACAGAGAACCTATTGCTTTTACTTGAGTCTTGTCAACATTTTACATGAGGGCTTCAACTACTAATTCTATCTAGAAAAAAAGTGTAATGAATTATTGTGCCCGGTTTTTTGTGGTATGGGATCTGTTTGAAACCCTCAAAACATGAATCTGACTTGCTTGTGTATGCTGTGCTCAGTTATCAGGTTCTACTACAGGGTTGACCACATTTGAGCAAATCTACTTCTGAAAGATAATGTTTTTCAGGGATCTTAATGTTGATTGAAGGCCAAAATTGAGCAAATTTTACATGTGCAGGGTGTTCTAAAGGTGAACCAATTCATTGAGGTCCGGCCTGGAATTGTTGTAAAAGACGAGAATGGAAACATAAAGTGCACTCCGATATATTCAAGAATAGTTTCATTATATGCTGAACAAAATGAGTTGCAGTTTGCGGTGCCCGGAGGACTTATTGGGGTTGGTACCACGATGGACCCTACTTTGACACGTGCTGATAGGCTGGTGGGTCAGGTTCTTGGGGAGGTTGGGTCACTCCCAGAAGTTTTTGTTGAACTTGAGGTAAGTCCTACCTGTAAGGTGTCTTGTGCTATATAATTCAAATGGCGTCCAGCCTTTTTATCATTCTTGTGCAAGTACACTGTTGTTAACAATGAACACAGAGAGCATTAAAGCATTTTATTGCTTATCGTTAGTTAGTGCCCTGTCAAATTTGTATTACTGAATGATTTTTTTGTCCTGAACTTTTCAGGTAAACTTTTTCCTGCTTCGCCGTCTTCTAGGTGTTAGAACGAAGGGAACGGAAAGACAGGGAAAAGTGTCAAAGCTGGCAAAGGGAGAGATTCTGATGTTGAATATAGGGTCCATGTCAACAGGAGCCCGTGTAATTGCTGTGAAGAATGACTTGGCTAAGCTACAACTCACCTCTCCAGTGTGCACCAGCAAAGGGGAGAAGGTGGCACTCAGCCGCCGAGTAGAGAAACACTGGCGGCTCATTGGGTGGGGCCAAATTCAAGCGGGAACCACCCTTGATGTTCCACCATCTCCCATCTGAGTTAACCTTGTTAACACAAAGTAGAGGAACAACCAAGAAGCAAATCAAAACTCGGGAAGATGTGGGAGGGGAGAGAGCTGCTAGGAACAGTTTTTGTTAGATGGAGAAGGAAACGGTACTGGTTCTTATTTATTTTCATTTGTTGCTGTCATTTTTCTAACCCTTAATTTCGTTGACAAAAACAAGCAAAGTTTTATAGTGGTTTGCTCCAAGATATGAAAATTCATTTTACTTATTGTGCAAAATATATGGTTATGGAAGCATTCAACCAGTACCGGTTTGGAAACATTATTGATTCTTAGTAAGGCAAACAGGCATGTTGGAAGAAAAGAAATAAAGGGTGCTTGAATTGAGTGCACTAGTTTCCAAATGTAATCAGGGACGAATTGAGTGCACTCAGGAAAGATCATTGAACGGTTGGATAAATCATAACTACTGGGAGCCTGAAGTCATTTTCAAATCAGGCCATCTTAACTGTTCAAGATTCGGAAATAATAATATACGTGCTTTGCGTCATTGGTTATGTTTCTTTAAATTTAATTGCATCTAACATGAGAGTTACTAGTCCTAACTGTCCTAGATAGGTATATCAATCGGTTGGGGTTAAATGGTAAATTCGGCTTGACCTGGCCTAATGGGGTCTGATCTATTCAATTCAGGCATAGGGTTGGGTTAGGATTTTGATTCTTTAATCAAGTCTGTTTGGTCAAGTTTGCGTTTTGGATGATACACTCCATTGTTTTACGATACCCTCTCTCTCTCTATATATATAATTTTTGTAATTTGTCGACTACTTACTCCATATCTTAAGGGTTAGGATTCCTATTCATGTTTTTTTTCTTTTCTTTTTTTTTTTTTTTCATTCGCTAATGGACAAAGTGATACCTGAATACTTGTAAACCAAATCTAATTTAAATAAATGGCTTTTAGACCTTTAAAATGGGTTAGGGATTGGGCAAACCCAACTTATTCACATCCCTCCTAGACCAGCATTTTGGGGTTTGTTCTGTTTTGTGGTTGGAAAATGTGTGGTTCATAAGGTTTTTAAAACCAGACCAGACAGGGAACCGTTTTGGAGTCTGGTTCCCGGGTCGAATGCTCCAAACGGATGATCCACTTTGACAAAAATAAAAAACAAAAAAAGACAAAAAAGCCATTGTTTGGGTTGATGGTTCAACCTCCCGAGTCAATGATTCGTTGACCCAATCAACAGTTTTTGGCCAAAAACCAGTTTTGGGGTGAAACAGAACCCGGTCAGGTGACCAGTTTCTAATTTTTCCAATCTTCAGTCTGGTCCGATTTTGAAAACACTGGTGGCTTATCTTTGAACACACCATATGTGTCCTAGAACCATAGTTCTAGAACACACCATGTGTCCTCTATGGTGTAGTGTGGTGTGTTTTAGGATGAGACAGAACAAATGATTTGTTTTGCATTGTGGTGTACTTTTAATAGAATATGTTAATGTGTGACACACGCACAACATAAACTTATACCAATATCATTGATATGTTATCAATAGATAAATTTTCAACAATATGTTATACATGAGTCACATTTTACAAGTAATTAAAAGAAATTTTAAAATTAAATTATACAAATAATGCATCATAAAATAAATAAACATAATGAAAAATAATATAAATAAAAGTAATAAAAAGACTGATTAAAAATTATTAAAGACAATAAAAAATGATTTAAGTAAATCTAATAAAAATCAACTGAACATAATACAATATAACTTAATAATTAATTAAATATAATAAAGGTAATGAATAATTATTAAAAATAAAAGATCAGAGCTAAAAGAATTATAGATCTAAAAAAACAGAGAGAGAGAGAGAGAGATGAGAGAGAAAAGGTAAAACGATCAACTGGGTGTGGTTCATTTCAAAACATGAGAAATTGGCGTGTCTAAAACCAGCCATAACTTGCTTTGGAATATGCATGCCATAGGCTTAAACGAAGATTATTTTATGTTCTATTCTAGGACGGGCTAGGATGAGCATCTACCACAATTACGATTCCAGATCTCCTCTCCACGAGAATTCTGCCAACGCCTACCCACAATACACTACCCCTGTAAATTGGGAACATCTCCCCTTACATAATATTATACAGAGGATGAGATGTTCTCCCTGTATGACTGAGATAAACATGGACAGAATTCTCGTRGGCAGGAGATCCGGATTCCCACGTTACCCCGCCTTGGTCTTCCAATTCTCGCGTTTAGGTTTGACATGGATTGGAGGAGTGAATACAAGGACAATTCAAGGGATCCAAAGTTTGATTGATGGTCTGGATAATTGCCGAGATCAACCTTTATCCAACTCAAAGCGACTGCACTACGTACCTCCTCCTTCAATTTATAATAAATGCAAATGGATTTGTGGATGACAATGTCAGGTGGATCCGTGGATATTAGAAGGATGCCGGTTCATTATTGAATTTGATCTACGTACTACCCGTTTGGCAGTACATCGAGAGCCCACTYTAATTCAATCTTCTAAGAAAATCATTGGTTCTATTATTTGCGACGGTGTTTGGTTTTATTGCTGTTTATAAAAAAGAAATAGTGTTAGTTTTACACCAAATAGGTGTTTCCCTTGTAGATTTTGAAATTTTGTTTGATAAGCTGTTTATCAATAAAACACATTTCTCGAGTTATGTGAAAGTCAMTGTGAGAGGGGATGTCAATGAGGTTTTCTCAAATGGTAATTGTTTTTTGGGAGAATGACAGTTCAGCCCAGGATAAGAATTTTTAGGCTTAAAGTACAGTTGGGGTAGGTGCTAGTTCGAAATTGATGYTAATTTACGGGCAGGCAGTGGTGCATAGAGTGGAGATATTTGACATTTTGAATGTTTGTAAGTCTGCCGTAGGATTCAGAAATCTGCACTGGACCTAACTGTACTCTGATTTTTATTATTTTTTTTCTGTACTTTTTATCTTATGTAAGGCCTAATGGCATTAGTGGTGCCTAGCTTTCATAAAGTAAAAAAAAAAAGGCTTTTTGTCCAAAATTTCGAAGGAAAATTCACACAACATTTTTTATGAAAAACGACAAGGACTAAACAGCCCCAATGTGGCCTATAAAATCAACATTGACAAGGAATTTGTGTTGTGGTGGTAGAAGCTTGGTCATTTGTGTCTCCGCTAGGATTGGTTACAGTTTTGAAGCTTGATAAAGATTTGCTTTGCCATCCTAATTGCTGTTAATGGACAGCGATTGATAATGTGATCAGGTTATTAGAATTTGCAATCTGATTCGACTCCCAATCCAATCAATATCAACTCGCTTTGACTCCGAAGCCAATTATTTTAGATTTAGATATTAGCACTTGCATCTGATCGAACAAATGCGAATTTATCTCATTTAATTCAAATAAAATCCAAGTTTTATGAAAAAATATTTATTTTACATATGTTTGTTATATAATTATGTATATATGCAAATATTATATACAATCATATAAAACTTATAACTAATAAATTTAATATTTTATATTTATACATTTCATATATATGTATAGGTTAAAACATTTTTTTTTTAATTTTTGCATCATTTTAAACACAATAAGATGGATGAGAATTAAATCCAAATCTGATCCTGATGTGTTGAATTGGGAACCAAAGTTTGATAGGCATAGTTTAAAAGAAATATAAATATAAATATGTACAATACAAATATATATGAAATAATACAAAATACAAGATTTTACACTACACACATTTAGATTTGTACTCCTTCTAAACTGAGCCATAAATGTTGATGTGGGTATAGCTGGATCGGATCTGATTTCAATTTCCGTAGGGCTGCAAGGCTGGAGTAAGCGCTAATTAGAGAGTAATTCACATGACAGCTTTTGGATTTGTGAAGTGAATCTGACTCAAAACAGCCCATCATAAGCAATATTTGTTGAAAACATGAAAGTCCAATAAATTAACTGTTTCAGCCATTAGAAAAAGGTGAACTTCCCATGAAACTTTTAACACATAAGAATCACCAGACACCACATAAAACAGCAGAACTGGAAATGCCACCTCCCCCAAAAACCCCCAGGCACATAACTCTATGCAAAGGGTGGTACAAAGCTTTGAAGTTCGAATATGTCCAATCAAACATGATTTTGATAGGATAGTCAAAATGTCTACATGAAAATAATAGTTAAACCATGGTTCCAAACACCGCCTGCCTCACAAATGAAAAACCATCGGTTTGCTTTCAAGTTAAGCATTCATGATAAGCTGTAAGATAGTTGCTGTCTGCCCTGATTGGTCCCTGGAAAGCAGCTTGGAAGACAAAGTGCTGAGGTCGGCAAACTGAATCTGTGAAACAATAAGTGATCAAAGTTTCTGAGGTGGTTGATTCGGGTTGGATATTCTGATGATTAAGTTAATGGAGCTGAGTGAGGGAGAAAGTTGATGGAGGGAGAAAGTTAATGGAGCTGAATTTTTCGTCAGACCCACCACCATGAATGAAAACATAGAAGTAAAGATATTTCCAATGTATGCCTGCAACATGCTGTGAGGAGGAAATCTGAACTTGTTAGTTATGTATTTGATTTCTTGGTTCCTCTTATCTTTCTACAATTTAAAGCCTTCACTTTTATTGGAAAAGGACGATTAGGATATAAAAAAAAAAAGTAAAAGATCCAATTGATCAGGTAGTCAAAATCATTCATTGGACTGATCTTCAACCCACCATTCTTTCATTAGACTATTAGAGCCATATTTGATATTTCATTGGTAATTTGCTTTGAAAAAAGAAATAGCATTATCCCCATAATCAAACTTCTTATCCAATTCATGACTCTATTAGCCCAGCTTCACCATGTTTTAAAGGTCTGTTAATGTTGATTCACACGCTTAAAGGGTTGAGGGTTCAACATAAGAGATCGGTTTCGGTATAAGACCCGTTCGAATAGCTTTTACAGCCTTGTATTGAAAATATTTCCCTACTTCTATGTTTTATTTAATTGGGAGATATTTCCTGCAAGACTATAAAGATTGCTGAAATGGACCTTGCACCGACTGAATCCGGTTTTTCAACATAAGATCTTCAAACTTTACCTTCACAATAGATCATATAACTGTCATGGTCATTGGTGGATTGTGATGTAAGTTGCAGCATGAGACGTCTCGACCATGAATAGGGCTTGGCAATAGTATTGTACATTAATTCCTAAGGTAGATTAATTCTAAATAATACAATCTTCCACAGTTTTGATTTGTGAATTGTGACTCACCACCTAAACTAGCATCTATAACTTAAATTCAGGGCCCCACTCATCAGACTATCCATTGCCACGTCATCTTGTCTTCCTCCTACTCCTACTGTCCTACATGAGTCGGCTTCAACATGTCTGCCTCGGAGAAAGCCGGGAGCCGGTAATCTCTGGCTTTTTTTGTCCATTAGTCCATTGCCTTTTCTTGCAAGGGACAAATTGGCCACCCTTCTATTCTATCATGGTTATGTTTGGTTAAAAACTTGAAATACACCATTCTTTGAAGCTTTATCTGAATATTTTTTTAAGGATTTTTGGACTGCAATCCCCTTCGAAAATCTGAATTACAGTCTCTTCCTAGTCCATCACTAGCCCCTCCCCCTCCTATAAATCGTATCCTGTTTATAGATTTGGCATTAATTCACAGTCAGGATTCAATCCACCCTAAGAGTGGAGCGATCTCAGGCTCAAACCTTAAATCCAATTCTTAAAGTTGGACTTGGGTTAAGCTAAAACCCCGCTTAACCCGCCCAACTTTCACCACAAAACACTTGGACCCATAACAAAAGTAAACCCTTAGGTAAACTTTTGGCACCTGGCAAGAATGTGGGTCCCAATTAGATAAGAGGACCCCTACATCTCTACGACTCTACCCTCTAAAAATAAGAAACGTGTACGCAGTAACGCAGGTAGCCTTATCAATTATCATCTCTCCACGTTTAATAGCGAGTTAATGACAATAGCATGTATTATAACTTGCATCCAAACAAGCCAGGTACCTGCTTCGATATATACAGATATTAGATTGATTGGTTGCATAATGGACCATTGAGGAGGAATAGAGTCCCCAGCCACGGGAGGTTATCTTAGCCCGGCCAGACATACAGCTTGGCTCTGGCGGCCGCAGGAATGAGTGAGATCAGCTTCAGTCAGTGCAACGTCCGTTCGAACAACTTTTACAGTCTTGCATCGGGAACATCTTCTTGCCTTACCTGGTTCCGCACTGATTGAATCCGGTTTCGGAGTGAGGAGTCACAATACATCCACACTTACGACATGCGCGAGCGTGTGCCAACGGAGGATTCGTCACGTGGGAGTTCGGATGGCATGAGAACTGGCGCCTTCATTTACGGTTATATAATAAGCAAGTACTCAGCCATCAACGCTTCCAATACAATGTTTTTGTCGTCATCGTTGTTAACGGGAATTTTATCTCTTTCTTGTTCCTCTCTGTACCCGTTATCGAATTGACTCAGAGCATTTGGGAGAAGCCAAAATGAACTGGCGGGGTTTCAGGGAACTGAGGCCTCTGTTTCACCTCCTCGTGCCTCTGTGCGTCCATTGGATCGCTGAAGAGATGACGGTCTCGGTTCTCGTCGACGTCACCACCGGTGCTTTGTGTCCTGGTCAGATGACCTGCCCTGAAGCAATCTATCTCACTGGCCTCCAGCAAACGGTGATGCACCATCCCAACTTTGCTTCTCTTATTCTTCTTTTGGGTCAATATGAACCGGGTTGCAACATTGAAGCTTCACAATTTAGATTTCTCAAGGATATTTCTAAGTTTGATTCTCCTACTCTTCATTTTTCTTGTCAAATTGGTGGAAATGAGGGTTTGGTGATAACTCTAGTCTACCAACTAATTATAATAATAACGATAATGTTAGTCTGGTCAAGAGGGTCATTTTCTTTTATTTTTAACTTTTTTTTTTTGTATTTAAGTTTGATTGGTCTTGGTTTCTTCTTCGTAATTTTAAACTCTGAGTCTTATGTGCAAGTTCTTAATGAAAAATTGTTCTGAGTCGAGTCATACCGATTGCAAATTTCGTTCATTTGATGATTGTTTCAACTTTTTGAGGGGTGTGAACCTCCTATAACTTTCGGGTTCATTTGGCAAAGTTGAACTTCTTCATGACTGTATTAGCTGCGGTATTAAACTTAACAGTCATTGGTATTTGCCGAAGATTCCTGTAATTGAAAAGTTGGGATCAAACTCAGCTCACTGGAGTTTAGAATTGTGGGTTCTGTGTTACGATCCATCTGTCCTATGTTGGTAGTGTGGGATGCTAATGTGAGGTATCCACATCAGTAGTATGGGATGCTATTGTGGGGTATATATATGTTTGGGTTCCCTCCCTCTAACAGCTAGCTTTTAGGGGTGAGTTCTCTAAGGCACATAACATTCTGCGAATAAACTGGACGATTTAAATGGAAGTATGTTACTCTCCAGTTCATAGTGAATTTGGAATTCTTCGTGCATACATGTATTGGAACTTCGTATCTAGGACATTCAAACTCCTGGTGGAAAGTGCAAGGAATTAATAGCAATTGCTCATATCGTTCAATTTCCACCTTTTGTTTAGATGTCAACTTGTCAAGCATTGACCAGTAGTGCCACTTCTAGGATTAGTTTCTCAAGTCTTAGCATCAGTTGTTCTATCTAGATGAAAAGTAAGTTGCAGTAAGGTATAAGACACATGAAAGAGCATTCATGTATCATTTATACCCAACTGAAGCCAAATATAATGCATGGTCTCTCCCGTTAGTTTCCTAAAAATGTTTTTCAATTTACAGATGTTGCACCACAAGTGATATTTAATCATCTTTTACTCTATATGCATTTTGGATCTCATTCTGCCATAACCTTTTTATTTCACTGCTTCCAATTTTCTTACCATTTTTAAGATTTATAAGTCATTCTCCACTCGTAGTTAAGAATAATCTCTTTTTATCTATTTCTTTTTACACTGAGTCTTAAGCATATTGGGACTTGTAGGTTGTGGGAATTTTCAAGATGTTTGTGCTTCCTCTCTTGGGTCAGCTTGCAGATGATTATGGGCGTAAACCAGTGCTGCTTCTTACTATTTCTACAACTATAATCCCTTTTGGTATGATTCTTACTTTGCAAAAGCTTTCTGTAACCAATTTTTACAAACACTCTAGATATTTTTTTTAATGAATTTTACCTAGGAGGCCCATGAGCATATGTAAAACACAATATTGAATCTTCTTGAAGAACTGATAAATATGCTAAGACGCATGCCAATTATACATGTGAGATCACCCAAAGGAAAACTATACATGTGAGATTAAGACAGTTTTGTTCCAATGTCCCTGCTATGAAACCTCCACTAAGCATCTTCTAGATGAGTGGTGCTGGAAGTGGGAGGCTAGAAGCTTATTCTCAGTCAGCTCCTTCACCAGGAACCTGAGAACCCCGGGAGAGTCATGTTTCCCTAGTAGATTGGTATGGAAATCTCTTATCCCATCAAAATCTTGTTTTCATCTGTGGCTGGAATCCCTAGGTAAATGCTTAACCAGGGGCAGTTTGATAAGAAGAGATATGAAAGTCCAAGATCAGAGCTGTGTTTTCTGTAGGGAGAAGTTGGAAACCATTGAACATTTGTTCCTTCACTGCACAACAGCCAAGGTAATGTGGATGAAGTTTCTGAAATCAGMAAATTTGAGTTGGGTCATGCCTCCATCTCTTAAAGAGTTGTTGTGGGTGTGGTCCCTTCCTAGAAAAATCCTATTTTGGGCGTATCGTATCCATATCAGTGCACCCAAATACACATAGATACACTGATACAAGCATATTTTTAAACTTTTAAAACCTTGGGATGATAGAAGGCTTTCCTCTAATCGTTATAAAATAAAATTAAAAAATAATAAAAAATATAATAGGTCATATTGATATGCACCAATACCCAACTTTGAGTGTCCAGTTTATTAATATTTTGATCCTTGCCTGGACTTAGCAAAAGAGGTGAGGCTGTTTGGGAGTTGATCCCAGCTGCAATTGTTTGGATAATTGGAAATTGGAATGAAAGGAATAAGATCTTTTAGCAGCAAGTTTAAAGAGGAAGAGATTTTGCAGCAGGTGGTGGGGAGAATTGGTTCTTGGGTTTCAGCTATGAAAGAGTTCCAGTTGGCTTCTGCTGCAGTCTAAGAGTGTTGGGAGATTTGATTGTATGTGTGATGTAGGGTGGCCTGGCTGTGGGGCCCTTTGGTAGGTTGTGTTGTGTTGTATTGTATTGTGCTGTATCTTCTTCTGAGCTTTAATAAAATTTACTTATCCTTTTCTAAAAAAAAGGTTAGCATCTTCTAGATGGTGCTCTATTTAGAATAGAAGTGATGCAATTTTATTTAATGCTTGTAATATACTATTCAATGTTTTAAAAGGTGCACCTAGGCACACAGATGAGGCGCATTTCAAGGCATGCACCTCGCCTGAATCCGAGCGCAACCCCTCTGAAAAGGTGCATGCCCAGTGCGCCTCAGCTCAATCACATTTACTCTAACAAAACCCCACCTTTTGCCAGTGTTGTTTCTCATCCTTCTTAATGTGGGACATTCATCTTCAAATAATATATGATTCCTAATCTTAAAATAACATGAACCACAGATAAAATCACAAAACCAGTCCCTTTATATGTTTGGGTGAATATTTTAGGTTTTTGTTTATATTGAATGGGATGCTGCGCCCAGCACTGATATAAACTGTCCTGACCCATACCCAGCCCTGGGCGAATATTTTAGGTTGTGGGCATAACCTAACATTGAATTGTTTGGCCTTGCCTCAAGGGACCCTGACAGAGGTGGGTGGACAATCTCCTAGAATTTATAATGGAAAATACTTAACATCACACTAATTACTTGAAATTATGCAACTAGGAGACAGATAAATAGATTGGAAGTTTCACATGCTTGAATTGTTGAGTAATCGAAGCACTTTAATACAATCCACATATGTTTGCTTTTATTTCTACGATTTCACTTTGAACATGTTTTATATGTCATGTTTATGTATTTTAATTTGAACCAATAGGCTTTTTTTTAAATTTATTTCTTTTAAAATTCAAGTTTGCATTTTTCTATATTTTTATTTTTATTATTTTTTGAATTTTTCAAAAATTTGCCCCTTGCTCTCACTAGAAGGCCCTTGCGATTTTCTTGCAACATGCATTTTTAAAACATTGATACTATCCATAAGCTCTAGCATGTGACTATTGACCCTAGAAGCATTTATTAATCATTTGTAGGTGAGTGATCCAAGTCTTCCCACTGACGTGCAATGCTTAATTTGTTTATTATGGTTGACATTTAAATTGCATTGGAAACCAGAACTTGTCAAAAACATCATAAATGTCAAATTCATCTTCAAAATCATGGCAGCATAGGGAGAATTATGAAGTTTGTCAAAGTATTTGATGACATATGAAGAAAATATAAACAAAGAAAATAGTTTAGTTATATTACTTATTGTATAAATAACTATATAATGTTAGCATAATAGGATATATGGCAAAAAATGCTTGTTGTTGGGCTGAGGAACAGATCATTGTCATGCATATTTGTATAAATGCATAACCAATTGTATATTTACAACTATTACCTCACTATGCATCATCATAGATAACACAGAGGATGTTAGAACCCAGATTCAGTCATCTCAGATTCAGGGTGTATAACGCAGAGGATGTTAGAACCCAGATTCAGCCATCTCAGATTCAGGGTGTTCAGCCAAGTAGCCTACTGAAAATATCTCGTGTAAGACCCTCTATTACCAGAATTCTCTCCTTCTTTGTCTTCTATCTTTGGAGGAAGAGCTCCCTTGAAGAAGCTCAGTTTTGCATTGCAGTCTATCAGAGGAAGTCCAAGTACAAATATCAACAACTACAAAATTAGACAGGATATCTTCTGGATTGTCTTCTTTACATTTATATGTTTACAGTTGTCAAATAATCTACTCAACTTCATATTCAATGTCACACCCTAGGATTTCAAGTTCTGACAAATCAGTTTCTTTATATTATTTTAGGAGTTCGTTGAGTATATAGTTTCTTCCCTTGTATATTGTAGAAGCAAAAACTTCAGAGAATAAAGATATCTTAGGTCAAAATAATTGATAAGTTTGCTTGCTTATCCTCAACCAAAGCAAACCATTTCATGGCCTAATATATTCTACAGTAGAGGATTAGGAAAGAAGTTATCTGTAGGAACCTAGGAGTATCTCCAATAGGTGATAAAATGACAGAGAGTAGACTAAGATGGTTTGGGCATGTATAGAAGACCACCAACTGTGCCAGTTAGAAGAAGTGATTTGTTACACATTGAAGGGACTAGAAGAGCTTGGGGTAGATGAAAAAGGACATGGATAGAAGTAGTAAGAAATGGTTTAATAGTGGATATGGCTTTAAATAGAACAGATTGGTGAAACAGGATTCATATAGCCGACCCCATATAGTTGGGATAAGGCATGGATGATGATGATGATAACCAAAGCTCCAAAAGCTTGAACTAGGGTGGAAGCACTGTTTAATTCACCCAAAAAACTATACCCTAATTAATTTAAATAGTATTTATAGGTCTTAATATCAAATATTCTGTCCTAATAACTTTATTATAAATATATTTTAGTCTTATATACTTCTAATTGAGATTTAATTAGAATAATCATATGATAAATATTTTTCTTGGAAACAGCCTCTCTGTATGTGCATGGGTAAGTCTGTGCACATCTATTCCTCCCCAGACCCCACATTGGCGGGAGCCTTGTTCACTGGACTGCCCTTTTATATAATAAATATTTCTAACGAAAGCATGTTGAGCCCATCACATGCCTATAGCTTGCAAATTAATAATTCTTATGTTTTTACTGTTTTTATTTAAATTTGAAAAGAAATATTCAAAACAAATTGTAACAAAATTATAGATAATCCACTTTTGTTACAATTCTATTAAAATTGGATATTCCTTTCAATACATCACACATAAATATGTGATCTGATCCATGACAGAGGTTGAATTCTATGTAACCCACATGTTATTCAGTTGAATATTTTGCTCTTGCTCATATGCATGATTTGCCTACATGCTTTACCTTAATGATGAGACTTGATTAAAGACCTTATTCTAGTAGGACCAATAAAATTACAAATCTATCCCAAAAAGAAAGGTGAGATTCCTCTGTTTTCCTTCTAAATATCTTCAGCTTTCTACTTTATAGTAATAAACTGTAGTTCTTCTCTTTTAGCTGCAAAAAAAGTATTGTTCTTTCATTTCTCTAAGTTCCTAATTGTATGATTTCTTGTTTTTGTTTTATTGTATTGAAACCTTTCTTGGAATATGTCTTATCAAAAGCATGGTCTTGATCAATGGGTCATCTCAGTTGATTGTGGACAAAAGTATTAACACAAATGTTCTCAATATTAGTTTATGGGTTTGTATTTTATGCATTTATATGTTCCTTTTTCTTCTAGTTTTCATGCTATGTTTTCATTTCAGCTTTGCTTGCTTGGAATGAGTCAAAGGAATTTGTGTATGCTTACTATGTACTTCGAACAATCTCATATATCATTAGCCAAGGGAGTATTTTCTGTATTTCTGTTGCATATGCGGTAAGAATATTTTCTTGATTCTGCTCATTGAAGAAGTTATCGATGTAATATAGATAATACTTCCATTTCTTTAGTAGGCAGATTTTGTGGAAGGCAGTAAGAGGGTAGCAGCATTTGGATGGATTACAGGTCTCTTCTCTTTTTCACATGTCCTGGGAAATGTGCTAGCTCGTTTTGTTCCTGAAGACTACATTTTTGAGGCATGTTGTCCTAAAATCCTGTTTATGTTAGAAAACAGAAAATAATTGCCTCTATCATTTTGTGCATTGTTTATCATATTGATGAAACTGTAATTTCAGGTGTCAATACTTCTGTTGATATTTTGTCCAGTTTATATGCAACTGTTTCTTGTTGAGACAGTCAAAAGAATTCCAAGGAATGAGCAACATTCATCTTGTTCAACTGTGATATCCAATGTCTTCCGAGAACGATTCAAATCCATGAGAAATTCTGTAAATGTTGTTTTGAGAAGGTACTTTTGTAAGCTATGACATGGCTATTCAATTATGTTCGTGCCTTGGTAACACTACTCTTTCTTTGACTGCATTTGCATATGACATGTGCACACACTTCTGCATGCAAACTGACACTCATGACTCAACCTGTGCCAACTAAGGTAGTTGGCAACTTTTTTATTTGGAAAAGTTTATATAAGCTGATAAGCATATCATGCATATGGCTGAAGTGCTGCATTTTACTCCTGTAGTGAAACGCTCAAAGGAATTGCTCTTGTTTCCTTCTTCTATGAGCTGGGAATGTCTGGAATCAGCAGTGTCTTACTGGTACATTCCTTTTCAGTTAGACAACAATCTATTCCAGTAAACCTTATCTGTGTTACTTAGATGGTGTCAATCAAACTTGATCATATTTAGAGATCATTACCATAGAGATGACTAAATAGTAATGCCACCTGAAATCCAAAATAGTTATAGAATGTTACCTTTGCAGTGCTATAATTTGATGTTTAGATAACTTCCTTTGCAGTACTATCTGAAGTCAGTTTTTGGTTTCAGTAAGAACCAGTTTTCAGAAATCCTGATGATGGTTGGAATAGGTTCCATTGTTTCACAGGTAATATTCTGAGACATACCAAGTTGCATATTTTTTCTTTAATTGATAATTTGACTCCTAAAATTGTGTAGCATTTCTCTTTTCAGTCCATTCTGATCAGTATCTTGTTGTCTTCCCTTTCCAAGTCCTTTAATCTCCAAGATCCAATTCATTCTTAGAAAGATAGGATAGTTATCCATGTACATCTTTTTTTTTTCAATTCACTATATTTTGTCAATATGCTATTATTTTTAAGGTTTTTGAAGTTGAATTAATTTCCGATTTGTATTCAGTTTAATTGTGCAAGGGTTTTGGTACAATGGTAAAATTCTGAGCTGACAAGTGTTTCCATGGACTTGTCTCCGAGTCCATGTTTTCTCATCTTGTTCATGTCCATGCAACATTTAACACCTATTTTTCTTTTTCTTATTTTGAAATGTTTGTTGTACCAATTGGTGCTTTACATGATCTAGCTTTTCCATATTTGATGCTTTCATCTTCAACTTCAGTATTTTAACCTTCCTTTTGTCAGTTTCAGTACAGCTAGACTGTCTTAAAATGGAATAATAAGCCTTTGCGTATGAGATTGACATCTTCAAATACCTTGAATGATGGCACTGAAAATTTGTAGTTGGCCTCCAGATTTTTGTGCTTCCACTTGCCAATCCTGTGCTGGGAGAGAGAAAGATATTGTGCATTGCCTTACTTGCATCAATCGCTTATGTAAGTTGCTCTGAAATTTTGTTTTAAATATTTTTTATGCATATCTTCAGTTCAAATGTTTAAACGGATTTTTCATAGATGTATATATTTTCCTCTGCAGGCATTGCTCTATGGTTTGGCATGGGCACCTTGGGTATGTTCTATCTGCTTGCTAAGCACATGATTCTATTGCTTCCCATTTCTTTTGTGAGTTAAAGCCAGCCTTCTTAGGAGTCAAAGAAGTATATTTACCACCAAAATCCCAAACCCTTGTTGAGGGTATCATGTCCAGGCTGTTCAATCTCATATACAGGGTGTAATTGTACAGTATTTACCAAGAATAACTTATGTACTGCTGGAAACCATTTGGCCAGTACAGTAATGACCCATCTCCACAAAGCTGACCAGATCAGGGGGTGAGACTGAGACTCCTAACCTTGTTTTCTACCCTAGTGGCAGTTCTGTCCATTATTGGCTGACCTCAAGCAATAGAACAGTTAAAATGCCTGGTGCTAGAGGCTAAACGAACAGGTGACTGTTCAATGGGTGTGCTTATTATTTAAAACACATTATGACATTAATTAATTTTATATATAAATTACTGATATTAGGGCCACCTAGGAAGTCATTTATCTAATCCTAATGTAATGCCTAGGAAAAAAAATTAAAAAACTGCCAATGGTGGTATATGCTTATGTATCAGTCACCTAGGAAAACATCCTTGACATCTGCCTTTATCAGTCACCTTGAAGGATACCTTATGTTTGGTTTGAAGGAAAAAGTAGGGAAAGGTAGGGAAACCTTTACAAACCTTGTATAGGTTTCCCTACCTTTCCCTACTTTTTTCCTTCAAACCAAACATAGCCTAAGGGTAGCCTTTTTTGTTCATTTGTTGAATCATAGAAGTCATCCCAATGCTTTCATGTGTTGACAAAGATTTACCCCTATCATGTTATCTAATCGTTAAATACATTGGTAAAAGTTTGAAACAGAAGCCAGTGTTCAACAACCATCATTTTGTTTTATCATACTAATGTGGTCCTTACAAGTTACAACCCCAACGTTCTAACCACAGGTACCGTACCTCAGTGCCTCATTTGGAGTCATTTATGTCCTTGTGAAACCTTCTGTAAGTATCTCTTATCTTGGAAACTCATTTGCCTCTTTTCCATAACTGCATTGAATAATATGCAACTATGGTTATCTCTTGTTTTAATTTTTGGATTTAATATCCACTATTGAATCTGTTTAATGTATTTTTTTACTTGACAGACTTATGCTGTTATCTCAAAAGCAACAAGCTCAGTTGATCAGGTTTGATTAATCCGTCTATCTAATAACCATCCAGTAGTCTCTGTTTGATAAGTCCCATAATAGGCAAAGATAACATCCTAATTTTCATACTTCTCATTTTTTGTCATTTAGACTAATTGATGGCTCTGTAGGAATATTTGTCTGTAGTTTTGGCAAGAAATAGATGTCCAGAAGTTTCATGCAGTTGATTTTGTTTTGAAAAACAGAATAATACGTATTGGTGAACACCC